GTATGATTAAACATTTTAGTCCCAGAAGATTCTGCCAAAATGGTACTCAACAAAACAAATGAAATAGGCAGATTATTACTTACAAAGAAGCAAACTACACTGGCCTGCATTTTTAAATTACCTTTTCAAAGATGCAAACAGTGACAAATGGAGAGTGATTAGCAAAAAAAAAAGAAATTCATCATCTGTTTAAAACACCACTTAATTCCTGGCCTCATGAAGGCTAACAGACTGTTAATGGTTAGGGCATATAGAGAAAATGGCAAATAGTCTACCATGATGAAGATAAAGCAGATAAAGTCTACCATGATGCAGACTAAAAGGATAACCGATGAATAATATGATTGCTGACCTACAAACACTTGATGTTACCAATTGGAAACAGAAGGTCAATCATAGAGATGAATAAAGGTGAGTGATATCTGCAGCAATGAACTTCAAGGATTCTGAGCGCTAAGAAGAGGACACATTTTCATTCAGTATGCTCTGCAAAAAGTACATGATTTGCATAATAAACAAGAACAAAAATGGATCTTTTGTTTAGGACAGAAAGTTACCCATTTATGACAGCTCCCTTAACTCTGACTGGGGCAGTACTTCTTTTCAAATATATGTGTCGATCAGAAGAAGTTAATATAAACATTGTCTAAGACAGGAGTGGATTTAGTAACAACTTTCTGAGGCAAGAGTTTAATTAATAACTAGAAGAGAAACAAAAAGAACACTCTGAGGTATCTGAAAATTGTGTAGCATTATTTTTCAATAATACAATGGAAGTTACTCTAAAGGAAGCCAGATTTCTTTAGAAAAGTGTGACCAAATGTGCAGAGTGAGAGAACATATAACTGAGAAGCCCATCACATATGAAGAACTCCTTAACTCTTTTGGTATCAAGCAGATATTACATAAACTCATTCTACTCTTAGAAATTATTACTGTAATCAATGTTTGAGGAGTTAAGATAACAGGACAGAATGATTTCAAGTAAGAATTATGGGTAAGTGTAACAATGGGTCCACTCTGAATTCAGAAAAGTATATCATGTCAACTAAAACCAACCATCGCTTGACGATCTGCTTGGTATTGAATGAGTAGGCCTGATTGAGTTCACACAAGGAAACAAAACTGTATGGAAAGAAAAACAATCACATTTAAAGGTTCTGAGGAGATAGGAGATGACTGGAGAGAGAGAGAAAAAAAAGAGAAAACTTGGATATTTTGGCTGGAGGGAGAAGTCGAAGCAACAAAAAAAAAAATAAACAGATAAAGATACAAGTGGGAAGACAACATCAAGAGATGGGTGTACAGCAGTCTAAGAGTGTGTACCACCAATAGAAGAGACACAGCATGCCAGAAATCCACTGCAGCCAACCTTCACTGTGAAAAGAGTACCTGACTACTGAGTTCACACAGCAATTGCAAGCTGCCGAAACTGTTCATAAAAGATGTATTTAATCCCACTGTAAGGAGATCAGTGTAAAAGAAGAACTGGATACAATGCAAACGTGTACCCTGGAGATAGATGTGTGTAAACAGAACACAATATATTCAATGGGGATAGACATATGTAAATTAGAGACTCATTGTTTGGACCATTCATGTAAACTGGAGTGAGATCACTGAAAACAAGTAACAATGGAAACAGACTGTGTACTTTGCAAAAACTTCCTGAGCTGAAATTTATTTTCTAATGCCACAGTCAAGTTTTTGATGGAGTAAACATTTGTATCATCACAGAAATTAACTTTCAGTCAACTAAATATTACATAAACTAAACAACAATATCAGAAGAAGGTGATTAGTTCACCTTCTCTTCCTCATTATATTTGTTCCAAAAAAAAAAAAAAAGTGAGTACCCATGTTAGGCTATTTCATCGTTCTCATGAAGGATATAACCAGTCCTACTGTACTCCATTCATACTTTATTTATTGATAGGTTAGTTGTGTATCCTTTACAGGACGATGCAGAACCAACCCTAACAGCCCATGGCTGTTGTGTGGTTTTTATAGGCAAATTTACAGCCAGTAGTTTGCCATTGCTTTCTGGATAGTCGGCTTTCTTGATACCACTGTCGAAACCAACGCAAGGTGCATGGCTCGCAGCTGGGATCGAACCAGGCACCCCGGCATTACGAAGCGTTCGCATCGACTTAGCCACAGAGCCGACTTATTTATTGATAGGTAGGTAAACATGTTATCTATTAAAGTCAGGTCAAGAACATGCACTGTTAATTCTAAACCTGGGCTATTATTTAACTGGTGGCCTGCAGGCCTCACAAGTGCCCTGCCAATAAATGCCAGTTGTGTTGTATTAACTCTCTGAGTCCCAAGCGGTTTAGAATCAGAGGTCCAAAGGATAGTCAAAAGAGATGTAAAATTGGCACACGTTGCGTTCATTAGGCTTCTAGGTAGGAAGCTATGAACGTATGATGCGTTCCTTGGGACTGAAAGAGTTAATGATCTTTCTACGCTGAGGATTTGGGCATCTGGCACACGAGGATCTCATTTCCCAATTTGTGTACCCTGAGTCAACTTAGGTGAACAGCCCTGCTCTACACTGTACAGGTGTTACTACAAGGTGCACGGTATACATAAACATCTGTAGTTACTTCACAACTGTCTTGCCCACAAAGTAGTTATATTAGCTTGTATATCCCAGCTAGTGACTTAACTATATCAGCATTTCCCAGCTATTTTGGTCCGCTGAGTCCTTTTAGAATAAACTTTCTTTGCTACAGCCTCTTTTTTTCTCAATCTTTAATTACATTTCATTGTCATTTACTTTCCTGGAGCAATCATGGAGCCCCTGGTGGGCCTCTGAAAAGTCCAGGTGGGCGTTAAATCAGTTCTGCCTTATCAAGTTATGGGTAAGGATAGGAAGTTTTGTTCTTCCACGATTGTACTATAGTATTACCACCTTAAGAATGAGAATCCGTATGTCGCGTCAGCTATAAATTGTAATTATTTTTTCTTTACATCAGATTTAACTAATAAACTGCTATCTACATTTTTTTTTTTTTCTGTGTTAAGCTAGCAATCGTGTGGGCCAGGAAACAACTTCCTTTGTTTTGGTGGGACAATTGGTATAAACAAGGTTGAGAAAGACTGCCTTGGAGCAGCCCTGAGAACTACATATATCTCAGACAGTTAATTCTTTTCATTACACCATTCATATCTTGGTCGTTCCAAAGATATATACCATTTTTTTTTGCCCATCTTCTATCACAGACAGATGTTATATTACCCCTCTGCATCCAAAATATTAGTTCAGCTACCTCTATCTCATTGCGCCTCTGTTGAACTTCTTCATACCTGTATATGAATTGCTTTTTAAGAGAATCTCCTTATAATAAAATGAGTTAAAAGTTCTTGAGATTGAAAGAGTTAATCTCTCTCTACCCTGCACTGTTATCATAACCCATTTCCAATTAAATATTACAATTAAAGTGACAACAAAAAAGAATGAAGAAAGTGTGATGAAAGGCGTAACCTAAAAAAATATGGTGCTAAAGTCATTAACAGAAAGTATAGCCTGTAAACATTACAAGAATGAAAATATGGTAAATAGCTACAAAATGAGTTAAAATCACTTGCTCCTTAATACACTTTTTCTGAGTAGTAGCTCCTAAGACTTTTTTTCTGGGTATCTGACATCTATCCGCCTATTTTGTCTTACTGTTTGGATGGTTAATTATTTTTTAACTCTTTCGGTCCAAGATAGTGTTGACTTTAACACTGTCTAATGTGAAGGTTTTGTATCTAAAGCAACAAATGTTTAAGTCTCATAGAGTGAAAATATGCAGCTGTGGCAGAGAAGGTGTTGTAATAACAAAAATTGTAAAAATAAAGGGTTAACATAAGACAAGAATGTGATATGGAAAGTAAAGAAATGTGTATCATATATAGTGTAACCAATGAAAGCATGGTGAGTTCACCCGTACTGAGAGTTAACTCTTTGAGTCCCAGGAAAGGCATCATAAGTTCATAGGTTCTTACCTAGAAGCCCAATGAACACACGATGTGTCGATTTTAGTCTCTCTTTACTACCCATTGGGCCTGTGATGCTAAACCCCCTTGGACTCAAGGAGTTTAGCACAAAACAACATGGAGCCACAATAATATAGCCACATATTTTTATAGAAAAAGAGCTCTGGTTACTCCAATCATTACAGTAATGAACAGAGTGCAAAAGCTTTTTTTCTTGAAGTGAGACAACAAGTGTTCAGATAGTAAGTTAAGATTACTTTCTATCTGAACACTTGTTATCTCACTCTGTTATTAATGAAGCCAACTATATGGTACTTTTATTTCCCCCTGATTTTAACTTTTTTTTTCTCTCTATGCATTTTTTACTTTAACCGTGTCTATCCCACTTGAACACCTTCTTATCCAATGGAAGTCAAGCCAAAATGTGGTTTGTACACTTGCTTACACAGTGATCAATACAGGTAGGATTCTGTTTTCCTCGCAGCACCCACTGGATCAATGCAACCTGCTAGAAGACACTAGATCATTCTCAGACTTGTATTTGCTGAGAGTTGTCAAAGAGGGAAATTAGTGAGGAGTGGATGTGGTCACTAATTCTAATTTCTATTTTTTTACATGACCTAGTATAAGCGAAAACATAACACTCTGTAACCCCACGTCAGTGATAGGTACTGGTAAAATTATGTTTTTCTGACAGCCTCGGTGAGGTCGATCCAACCTGATAAAAGACGCTAGATAACTGTGGCGATTTTTTTTTTAAATCTGGGAATTATCTCAGAAGAAAAATTGTATAAAAGCGAAGTAGTCACAAATTCTAATTTTGCCACTACCAAACATTAAGGAAAACCTAACACTTTGCAGGAAAACCTAATACCTTTCACACTATGGCAACAAGTGTGAAGTGGGTATCTTTGCGACCCTTATTTAAACTTATAAAAAATACTTTTAACTCATCTGAAAGAGAACCAACGGACAAATACAAACAAAACACTATATAAATAAATAGTCCTTACCAACTCTTCGTGCAGTTCTGCAAGGGTGGGTCTGAGTTTGATGCCTCCACTTGTAGCTGAGAAAATATTTCTGTAGTGGTCAACACACGGCAGGGCTTCCACTGTATTCATAACACTGTTCGTCTTGTTATACACATCAATCGAACCCCGGCTACGAAGAGAATCGCCGCTGATAGAAAACGTTGCACCGGGAGATTCCGGACCATTGCTAATTGATCCCCGTCCACCGCCGTAGGTATTGGTATTTGCAAAGTCTACAGATTGTTTCCCGTAATCAACGGATTGGTTTTTCTTGGTTTTCATTTATGTCGTCTGCTGGATCTCCTGGCTGTAAACCATCGCTTTCCCAAGTTACATGTTCGTCTCTTGTGTTCACTCTCGCCACTTGAAAACGCGATCCACTTTTCTTCATTTCATCTCCGTTTAGTTCCATGTTTCTACGCTGCGTTAAAATAACTGTTCCCCCGAGATAGGAAAGTTTTCGCGACTGACAGCGACCTACGCATACGTCCGCGTGTTGAGGTCTGACTGTTCTCCAGTCAGCCGAACCCTACTTATGTATAAGCGCCATTTTATGTTATTGATTTGATTTTCCGTGCCAGGTGCGAAATGCGATTTTGGGCCAATCGGAAAATAAAGTTTGTGCCGTTTTTTCACATAACGTGACGATTACAACAATAAAAAATAAATATAAGTAAAAACTGAAACTGTGCAGTTAGTTTAGTGATGCAAGAGTAGGAAGAATTAACATAGGCAAAAATCTTTTTAGAATGATTTACCTGTATGACTAATAGAAATTACGAAAGAAAAAGACAAGATACATAAATTAAAAAAAAACATATTAGCAATCTGTTAAGCTTCCATGCCTAGACTAAAAAAACGTGACAAACGGAAAAGTAACTACCTACAAAAAAACTATTATTGAAATATAGCTGATTTAATATTACCTGATTATGAAATATTGGAATACCGACGTTTATTCTTCTGTTCAACTTCTTGTTCAACTGTATGTCAAAAAAGAAAATGTGGTAGAGCGAAAAAAAAAAAAAAAGACTAATAAAAAAAAAATATACAAAACTCCATAACAGAATGTTTTGTTTCTCCGCCTAAACTAAAATAATATGACAATTAGATCAGTAAAAACGATGAAATAATTAAACTTATATTATAATGAGTTTAATAATACACCAGAAGAGGAACCGAAGTACCGTTTTTTCCCATGTATAACAACTAAGAAAATCGGGAAATAAAAAGGTATTAGTACTAAAATCTGGTAATCTGGTGCTTATAATGTCATGCTTATGCTGTTTTGCATGTTAGTAGCATAATTGTATTATGTAGTTTTAGATTTATTTTTGTGAAGTAAGACAGTAAAACCTACTTACGGTTTCCATCGTATTAAAACAATATGGCAATGACAAAAGTTTTTTTTTTTCAATGACATAATTAAGATATGTTTAGTGTAAAAGAGCAGCAACTATAAAAGACTATTTTCACATCTTCAGTCGTGCTGGGCATATAGGGCTAGACCTATATTTTATAGAGCAATCGGCAGTTGGTGGGTGACGTGGTCAGCAACACGTCGGCCGCCTTTACTTCCCAGGATTCCACCTGGTACACATTCAAGGCTGGGTCGACCTGAAGGCCAAAGTCATTTTTTTTAAAGTCCGGTGCCGTCAATGCCTGAACCCACAACTTTCCGATATGCAGGCGAGTATCTCACCACTACACTACGGCGGCTCCCAAAGCTGCAACCTGGGAAACTCAGATATGCAACATGCTCTGATTACCAAAACTCATCAATGTGATAAATAAGAAATTAAAACAACATAACACAAAGTCAAATGGATTGTAAATAGTTAATTATGTCTGTTTCTTACAGATTAATGTTTTAGTTTTATCATCATCATCAGGTGCCTTGCCGACTTATACAGTTTCATAATGTATAGGATGCCATGAAATATACTGCATTAAAACCAGTAAGTATATTAAAGGTCAATTTGTACCCCCACCCCACCCTCCCCTATTCTATTTTAATATCATACCTATTGTTGCTGACAAAACACACCAAGGCAAATGAAACCGTTAGCCTTTTCATTGACATACACCGGTGTATTTAACGTGTGACTTTTCAGTACATATTAAGTATTATAACGTTCCAACTGTCTAATCTAGACAGTTTGTGTTTGGCAAATAATATAATCCAACATAAGATATTCAGTCGTGATAGTGGTGTAGCGGATAGACGGTCCAACTCCAACCAGAAGGTCTTAGGTTCAAAACTGCATCAATAGGACGACCCCCTCTCACCCCCGTCCAGATATGACTTTGGCTCTCAGGTCAATACTCCTAAAAATAGTACCGTTTAAAGAACTAGAAGGTAAAGGCGGCAAGGCGTACTGTTGCCATCACCCATGTGAGACTAACGTTATATGCCGAAGCATGAAAATGGTCTTTCGCTGACTACTGACAAAGAATGCAGTAGTGTACTGCATGTTGCTACCAAATACCAAAGGGAACGTTTCATTTGATTTGTAATATAGTATAAAGTGTTTGAAACCTGTTCAAACTACAAACATTCAAAACGAACAATTAGTACAGTACGGTATTGAACATAAAGTACTCAACTTCTATTTCATAAATGTTTAGAAAACATCAATGTCTTTTTTAAATTGCCTCTTTTAGAAAAAAAAAGGCATTTTCTTTTGCCTCTTCCTTCTCATCCATTTTCTTCGTATCCCCCCCCCCCCCCCCCCCGCCCGTTCTTCTTATACTTAAGTGGTCAGCTAACTCACGCGGAGTTCTTATATCTTTAGACTGGTTAGGTTTTTGCAGATAAAAGCTTTCTACTGGGCCAGTCACACTTCCAGTAATCTCCAGCTTTGGCTATTACGTGCATTGTAGGTTACTGTAAATTTTTTAAACTTAAATTTTAGGAGTGAGTAACACACATGCAACTTTTTTACTATCAATTTGAAGTCAGGCGTGTAATGGTGTGCTCAGGCGCTTGGCACTGCTTCTCTTCGGAGAGGTGAAATGTGAAACCAGGTCAGATTCTTCCCCTGCCCCTGCCCCGCCCCGCCATGTGGCAACCACAGAAAGCCAGCAATGACTGCTACTATAGAACCCCCGTTGAGTAATAGACAGTTCGGTCTCAGGAAGGGGAAAAGCTGTATATAGAAAATACTTTCTTTAATAAATATGTGAGAAGTCTGTAGAATAAGATAATAGTCAACAACTTATATTTATAGATCAAAGAGAAGGCATTCGATCGAGTCAATAGATGCAGACTGTGACACATTCTAGAAGATTATGGTATTTAAGATCAGCTGTTAGAAAACACCGTGGCTCTTTATCAAGATAGTCGGTGATTGTAAAAACAACAGAAGGAATGATAGACTGGTTTCCCATCTCATCAGATGTCAGACAGGGATGTGTCCTCTCACTATTGCTATTTATTACTTACATGGATAAAATTGCACAGGAAGCAAATGAACTTCGTTTTGCAGACGATCAGTGTCTAATACACCAGCAAGAACAGATTTTGCAACCACATTGTGACTCACATAGCACATAGTAGAACATGAGAATAAACACCGCGAAAACTGAGGCAATGAGACTAGGCAGGAAACGTAATGACACGTCAAAGGTACTAAAATCAAACAAGTTAGTTAGTTAGTTAGCTGGGTTATCATCATTGCACTCCGGACATGTCCATAGGTGCTCAGATCCTCCCCTCAGTATGAACCCCAACGTCCGATGGCTAATAGTACCAGTTCTATGTTGATTAACAAGTCTTCTGGCGTGTCTGGTGTACGTCTCGTTTTTTGCTGTGCCGATCTTAATTCCCAAATCTGCCATTCTGGCGAGTGATATAGATTCAAACAAGTATCTAGGAAGCATATTTACGGGAGATGGCAAACTTGATAGAGAAATACAAGCCAGAGTACAGAAAGCAAATGCTGTCAACTATCAACTAGTCTCACTACTTGGACACCCCAATGTCTCCCTTCCAGCAAAAGAGCAAAGAATTAATAGCATATTCATCACTATTTTATTTATGCAGTTAATGCCAAACATGGACAATGAATAGGACACTAGAACATAAAAAAATAGTTAGTGCCAAACATGGACAATGAATAGGACAGTAAAACAAAGAAAATAGTCACATGTGAAATACGACGTATCCGCAATGTGACTAACAACACAAGAAGAGACAGGCGTGCAAACAAAGGTGGTGCTGTTAGTTACACGGATGGGTCAGTAATTTTAGTGTACATAAAACTGAAGTTCTGTAGCAGGACTTAAGTCAAGAAGTGGACCATCAATCAGAACTTTCCACCGAAATGTGCAGCCGGTGAGCGCGAAGTCAGTATTTAAAACCACAAGAGGTGTTAGACAATGTGATATATTCTCACCTTACCTTTTCGTTTTTATGACATCTTATTAATATAACTCATCCCCTTGTGGGGTGCAACTTTTCGTTTTTTTTTTTAAGCCCCTGCCCTAGCAGTTTGGGGGGGGGGGGGGGGAGGGCTAATATAACCTAAAGGCTAAACGGGGTTTTTAGGACTTCTCCACGGGTGATCCTCATCCGCATCTTGGCACTTTGTGTCACTGGGTGTTTATCGCTCTGTGTGATGCCCTGCTTGGGTTAGGGTTTCTTGTTTCTTACTTACTTCTTATGATGAGTGATGTCATCAAGACCTGTAAGGAGAAGACAAAAAAGTACGCAGTAGGGTACTGGAAGATAAGACAAATCTGTATATCAGAGCTGGCATTTGCACACGGCGTGGCCCTGGTAGCTTTATCAGAGGCATACCATTAATCCAAATTACTCGTCCGGAAGGAAGAGCTTGAGAAAAGAGGGGTGACCATCAGTATCTCCAAAACTAGAACCATGGTTATCTTAGGAGAGAAAAAAAAAAGTCAGATCATGAAGGGACTGTATGCATTGGAGCAGGTCAACCAATTCAAATCAAGCTGTAGAGAGCAGATGCCTGGCATTGTTGACACTTTAGTCAGAACACTGATTGACGAAAAAACAGATGAAGGTGATGCGATAGTTTACACAGGTGGGTCAGTAATTAGAGGTGAGCGAAGTGCATGGACCTTCACAGTAAGCTCAAGGGGGAAACCATTGAGGAGATGAATGGCGCCTTTGTTGTTACAACCAGTAGCCTTACAATGGAAACTATGTCTGTAACAAGGGCTTTAGCATGGCTTGGTACTCAAAAGTTCACACATGTATGCATTCTTAGTGACTCGATGAATATGCTTAAAAAAATCCA